GCGCCGAAGCAGTGCCTACGCCAGTAGGGATGAGGAAGAATTTGGATATTTAACTGTGCAGAGTTTGAGCCACTCGGCTACTGCGGCCGATATTACATTGTTATTGGATATGAAGCGAGCTCTGTAAGCTCTTAAGCAATGGATGGTCAAGCCTATGCACTGATGTGAGGTGTGACATATTTTTCTGTTAATATTTTGAACAAATTTGTGTTGTTACACCAACAATGGCCTGCTTAATAAGCGCTTTAAGCGCAATTTGTAATTCTGCGCAAAAATATTGTTTATGGTCACACCTACTAAAACGAAACTAATTTGCTGTGGATGTTTTTTCTCTCGTCTATTTTTACAAAATTGGTGCACATTTTATCGGGTGATTCGCTAGATACGTGTTTATGTACATATGTATGTATAAAGTGGGGCATACCAATTAGTTTTACGATACAAATAACAAATAACAAGCAGCAACAACAATGGAAAAAATAATACTATATAAAATAAAGGCCCCAAGTAACAAAAACGATAATCACAATCAACGGCCAAGCATAAGAATAAACACGAAAATATTACTTATAAGCGAAATAAAATAAAAAAAAGACAATGACAACAACAATAAAGTGTTGGCACAACACAATAACTGTTATAGGGAGAGAGGGAGAGAGAGAGAGAGGGCAAGGAAAAAAATTATTATGATTCAAGGACAAAAGATTATCTTAATCGCGGATATAAACTACCAGATTTAGTATTTTCCATTTGCCTTATGGCCATACAGAAACAAAATACCAAACAAGTATTCAACACAAACAAACTAACACACACACAATCGCTTAAAAACACGGCATAAGAAGGGAATAAATATCGGGAGTGTGGGAGAGAGAGGGAGAGAGTGTGTGCGAGCGAATTGTGGGGGTGGTAGTGGAAGTGTACAACTTGAAATTCGGTAAAAAGCCAAAAGAAGCCAAGCATAAAGCATAACTTCAAGGCACACACACACACACACGCACACACAAACTTTTGTCCTGATATAAAAACACACCATGACATATACACATACATAGATAAATGTAAGCTCAGGCAATTTGCAGCTGTTTGTTTGTTGTTGCTGGCAGTCGTAAATAAGTAAAAATTTCGGCTATCGAGAGAAAATGAAAACAAAAAAATAACAACAACAAAAACAACAACAACCGATGTTGCCACAAATAAACAAAATGAACAATAACAAAATGCCAACAGAAAATGTGAAAAAAGCAACAAAAAAAAAAAAAAAAAAACAAAAAATAGAAAATAAAAATTATGGTTGTGAAGAAGAATATTGAGAAGCAGCGGAAGAGCACAGAAAAATTAAGGACAAATCTACAGGATGTTGCGTGTTGTGCGATAAAAATATATATTTACATATATGCATGTGTACGAGTTTATACATGTGTGTGTGTGTGTATATATACATATATAGAATTTGAGCAATTTTCTTGCCAAACACAATAGTTGTAGTTGTAGCGTAAAGATTTATAAATGAATGCCTTACATACACATTTGGATATGTACGTACATATAATAACTACATACAGACAAACATATATATACTGATAAGTGTGTGTATCATTGTTTGCTCCCAGCGCAGAAATTTATGAAGAACACGTCCGAAGAAAACACCAAATAAAGATTAGTTATGTTATAAAAATATTGTAAGCTCTTTTTTCTTTGCTGTTATTGTTGTTACAACAAGCTTGTCGAAGAAGTAATCTTGTGGCAAGTAAGTGAAGATTACTAACACAACTACAAATACATATCTCACTGCATGTGTATGCAAGTATGTGTGTGTGTCACAGCCAACTATAGCACATTTATGTATTTAACTAAGGACATATTGAAGTTTCTTGCACAAAAATTGTAATGAAAAGTCACGAACACAAAATGTTTGGCTTACAAGATTTGTTCGTGTAGAAAAAAATGAAAAATAATTTTCTGTTTTTGTAGAGAAAAATTAACAATTTGATAGAATAAAGTACACTGCTGGGCAAAGTAAGAGGTTTGACAACATTTGTTCGCAAAAATATACAGTAGACTCTTCATTTGCTTTCTACTAAACAATATTTATTGGGTGTATGCCATAATTCGTGCTGTTTTTTTTTTCGTAAAATTAGGACTTTATTGTGAATGAATAAATGCTCTAATTAGTGCCCTTCGGAAGCTACGATGTTTGCCCATCTTTCTGGCAGTTCGCGGATCCCAACCCAAAAGAACTTCTCCTGCTTGGAGGTCAATAAAGAATCGCGTCAATTTCTGTTCTGAAGTGAAGCATACTCTGGTAAGGGCATTCTGCATGCAACCGAACAAGTGGTAATTAGAAAGTGCTATGTCTAGGCTATAAGGCGGGTGAGGTAGAAATTTTAACTGGCCTTGCAACATGTGGCCGAGCGTTGTCATGATGAAAAATTATTGATTCGTGTTTGTTCGCATATTTCGGTCGCTTTTTCGCCTTTTTCAAACGAATGAATTATTTTCGGTAGAGGTCCCCATTGATCGTCTGACCCGATTTAAATAGCTCATAATAGCGCACACCCTTGTGGTCGCACCAAATACATAGCATAATCGTGGAACCATGAACATTCGGCTTTGATGTGGATGTAGAAAGCCATCGTATGTGAAGATTTCTTGCGCTCTGGGTTATCATAATCCATCCAATTTCATGGCCAGTGACAATTCGATGAAAAATTACTTCTTTTGGTGGCGTTGAAGCAACATTTCCGACACGCGGAATCGATGTTCGACGTTCGACGTTTCTTAGCTTTAATTCATAAAGCAACCAATTTCCAAGCTTCTGTATGAATCTTAATGATTTTAAGCGTCTGAAAACGGTTGCTTGATTAACTTCTAATACTTTAGCAAGTTCTTCTTGCGTCTGGCATGCATCTGCGTCGAGCAAAGTCTCAAATTCTTCATCTTGAAATTTTGTTTGGCTGTCCGTCGTCTAAGTTGAAATAACCAGTTTTAAACCATGCAAACTACTTTTGGTATGTTCGTTCGGCTAACGCATGGCCACCATAAACGTTTAGTAAAATTCAATGGCTTTCGGTAGCAATTTTCTTCATCTTAAAGTAATGAAGAAGAACTTCCCGCAAAAACTCTTTATCTGGTACAAATTTGGACATTTTGAAATGAATGAAAAATTTGTTGTTCACGCCAAAACAAATGACATCTACTGAAAAATACGCGAAATGACAGTACCGTTGAAGTGAATACAGCCACAGATGAATACGACGCGAAATAATATTGGTAGAGCCCTCTCTTAGAAAACCGCACGAGATTTCGCACCAAAATTTTAGTAAATATCTTATATTTATATGAAAACTCATTAAGAACACATGTAAATTGTTGCTGGGCGTAAAATTAAAAAAAAAAAAAGTTGGGTAAAAGTTTATTGCAGGAAGCACTTACAGCAGCTTGTGCTCAACTAAATTCATAAAAAGCCAAATTTTCAGTAAATTTCGTACTAAGAACTCGTTGAAAATACCCAAAACATACATACAAATTCATTAAAGCTCATATATATACAATATATTTATATGCATTTGTATGCATACGTGTATGCCAACAACAATGAAAGCGCTAAGCCAACATCGCACTCGCATTATACCGAAAATAAATTGATTAGTTTGCGGCTTTATATTTGATTGCTGAAGCATTTAAGCGACCTATACAATTTCGTAAATTAACTTGGCAGATTAGCAGCAGCAACAGCAGCAGTAACAGCAGCAGCAGCAACGACTAAGACAAAAGGAAAGTTCGGTAGATTATTTGTAATGAATGAATAAATGGCAATGAATGCATGAAAGCCGCTGAGGTGAAGGGTGAAGTGAAAATTGAGAAAATGAAAAAATATTAAATTAATTTATGGAAAGTAATATGCACATGAGTGCATTTAACTAAGTTAATATACATATCTACAAGTCTAAACATATAAAGGTAATTGCCCTAAATAGCCTACGTGGCATGCAATAACGACATTAGCCATTAAGCCCAAACGAAAACCGAATTATATATGGATTTGTTAGTGCAATAATATTTTCATATACGAGTAAATCTATATAAATGTTTATATGCTTATGCATATACTCATAAGCATATATATGTACAAATATATATATGTGTCAATAGCATTTGCTTGCTTGCATGAAAATGTTTGCCGCACAATTAAACACATTAACGGCAATAAAAGCATTAATCCCTTGGGAACATTGCAAATAAAAATTAAGAAAAATTAAAAAAAAACAAAAATAATTTCAAATAAACCGAAGCACTTTTTATACCGCCAGCCAAGCGCATATTAATATAAGTGCCAAACAGCCACAAAATACAGTGAAATGAAAAATTAAATTCAATAGATTTTTCGCAGCGAAAACAATGGCAATTCAGGCAACGTGGCGCTGCGACGCTGCGGCAGCAGCTATTATACTGCAGTCCGTCGAACAATTACAGCTCGGCACATTGATGACAGGGCAAGGGCATTGAGGGGAGTAGGCAGCAGGAGGGAGCGTGGAGCTGATGGGCGGTGAATGGAAGATTGGTTAGCATAAAATTCATTTGCGTAAATCTAATTACGAAATGACATGCCGGGAATGGCAAGCATTTGCATAGAAAATGTTGGTACAAATGCCGGAACAGCGACAAAAAATTTAACTATTTACAGTAAAGCAAAAAAAAAAGTACAGATATTTAAGAATGTTTTATGCTGCATACATGAAAACTCACATATGCCTTTATACACACACATACACACACATATAAGTACATTAATGTGCTGTCCTAAAAAAAAAGGCGATCGACGTCAGCGGGCAAAATGTAATAAAAACATGAATTTAATTGAGTTGACAGCCACTGTATTAATATGCGACATGATGCGCGACACATTCACACACACACACTCACACAGGCATATGTTCATATGCGCTCACATGAAATTCTAAAAAAAGCACACACATACGCACATAAGACATACATACCCAGCGGCTCATAAACAGCAATCAATGCGCCATTGTGGCTCCACGCTCGCCACATTATGACCCCTTTTTCGCTTAAGCGGAGGTTAATATATTTGGTCATAGCTGCAAATTAAACTCATTGCTTGCGCGCTTTTTCTGCATTTTTCGATTTTGTCGTAAATAAAATGCATTGATTTGCATAAAACAGCAAAACTGCCAACAAAAAAAAAGAAAATAAATAAATAAATTTAAAAAAAAAAAAACAAAAAACATTAAACGCATTCAGGTGTAAGTGTGTACATATGTATATGTAACGAAAAAAGATTAAAACTAATTGCTTGTATGTACAGCCAATGGGTGTATTTTATGTTTATATGCCATCACGCATTTATTTTTGTTGAAATTTATACTTGCTGCAAAACAAATTTTCAATTTGTCGTTTACTAAGTAAATAATTTAGTTATTTTAAATTTATTTCACTTCGCATCTATTGTCGCTCACTAATTTGTTTCTGTTCATTTAATTTTTTTTTGTTTTATAAAACAAACTTGAATTGTTTTCATTCGTAAAATACTATTTTATTTAAATTAAATGTACATATTGTACATTGCATATGTGGTACGGGGCGTATACGTAACCAAATCTACAGCAACTAGCGCAATGCGATAATTTACATTTATATGTATATACATATATTGGTGTTCGTTTGGTGGTTGTCAAAGCGAAAACATTAATTTCATTTGCTTTTAATGCTAGATTTCAAGTTTTTGGATTAAAGTGAAATAAGTTAAGTTAAAGTCAAAGGGATTTCCATATTCAATATCAAAAGATGAACATAAATATCAGGTTGTCAAATATCTCCCTTCCGCTTTTTTGTCTTTTGAATTTTGCGGCTATGTACAAAGCGCTACATAGCTCGTATCTGGCAAAACTATACATAATTTGAAAGGTCTTGACATAGCCTACAAAACAACGCTATGCATGATTATGATTAGTTTGGATATTGCGTTCAACAGTTATAGACGTGTAAACATGGAGTTCACTAACGCCGAAATTCGCGCAATTTTAAAGTTTTCCTTCGTTAAAGGCAAATCCACTAGAGAAACGTTCCATGAGATTAATGGTGTTTTGGGGGATGGTACTCTATCACTTCGAACAGCGAAGGAATGGGTTCGACGATTCAGAGCCGGTGAAAACGACACCATGGATAAGCCATCCGGCGGAAGACCTGTGACGACAAATACCGATCAAATCATGGAATACATCGAGTTAGACCGGTATATGGCATCTCGTGACATCGCCCAGGAGATGGGAATTAGTCACCAAACTATTTTGAACCATCTGCAGAAGGTTGGATACAAAAAAAGTTTGATGTTTGGGTGCCGCATAATTTGACGTAAAAAACCCTCTGGACCGAATCAACGCCTGCGATATGCTGCTGAAACGGAACGAACTCGACTCATTCTTGAAGCAGATGATGACTGGCAACGTAAAATGGATCACATACGACAATATCAAGCGAAAACGGTCGTGGTTGAAGGCCGGTGAATCGTCCCAAATAGTGTCCAAGCCGGGATTGACGGTCAGGAAGGTTTTGCTGTGTGTTTGGTGGGATTGGAAGGGAATCATCCACTATGAGCTGCTCCCATATGGCCAGACGCTTAATTCTACCATCTACCGCGAACAGCTGGACCGCTTGAAGCAGACGAACGACCAGAAGCGTCCAGAATTGGCCAACAGGAAGGGTGTAGTGTTCCACTAGGACAACGCCAGACCACACACTTCGTTGATGACTCGTCAGAAGCTACGGGAGCTCGGATGGAAGGTTTTATCGCATCCACCATATAGCCCGGACGATCCGATCACTGTAACACTTTTTATAAAGCATTGAATGAAGAGCAAAAAAGCGGAAGGGAGATATTTGACAACCTTATATTTCTCCAATTCGATTTTAGGATTAAACATTGCTTTCCAATCCATGATTACGAAAACATTTAATTATATTCGTCTCGTCTGCCCTTACGTTTCATGGCACACTTTGTTTCCACTAAAAAAAAGCTATCATCGGGTGGCTTCACGAAATAACTTGTTGCGGGACTGGTCAACTTTGGGTTGGGTTGGACGCAAAAACATAAAAGAATCTTATTAAGATAATGTGATACTTTTCAAATGATTTTGTCGAAGCTCCAGAGACGAAAAAGAGGAGAATACGGCGAGCCCTACCTCTGTCACTGTCCAACGCTAAGTATTATACTACATACTACCTATAATGGAATAGAGGGAGCTCCAAACGGCTGATGGCTTTTTAAGAGAAAGTACAGTCAGCTAAACACTCGGTGGGCTTGAAATTCATTGCTGCGGGGCGACCGCATCTTTAAAAAAATTTGCTATAATTTTGGGTGTTTATGTCTTAACAGGCCACGAATCTGATCGAATAGCAGTGCACAATGCTAACTACTCGGCTGCCCGTTCATAAGGCACACGAAATGTTTTATATATCTGCGAAAGTGAGCAGTACACCGCAGTGGTATCACAATGGACCTTCAGTCCTAAATGAGCTGGTAATTCTGATCGCTCAGCTTGGCAGCCGCAACAGCAAAGAACAAACTACAAAATTCAAAAATTTTTTTTAATAAAATTTGGTGTCAATGGTAATTTAGTGGCAATATATTTATATATAAAATACTATGAATATAATAATTCACCTACGTTTTTATTAGTAATCTGCAAGAGATTTTATAAGATTCTAAAAAAAAACTTTTCTCAAATAAAATATCCTCACAATTTGGAGCCTGAATAAAATTAATTAATTAATTTGTAAACTAAACTGCTCATCTATGTATACGTATAGCTTATAATGTGTGATTTGTTTGTAAAAATAAAACATTTCTCACTTTTGAATACCGTTAAAAATTATGTATAATTTTAATGTCCATTTTTTAATTTTATTTATTTTTGTTTTTGTTCTTATGAACCATGGTTTTACCTAACAATTTGCTGCACTATTTCCTATTAGACCGATTAGATCACAAAATGACTCCTGAGGCTTGATTAATATTATGAGTGCTCTTTTTATGTAACCCTTTTAATCGCTGAGCCGGTGGCTAAGTGAATTGTACCAGCCTTTACTTTTACTTGTTTCTTGAGAAACGCTTCACAGCTTCGGGAGCATTCATAAATCACATATCTCGGCCAAGAGGAAGTAGGGTTGCGTTAAATGCTGCCCTATAGCAATGTTGCAGGGAAGGAGTTGATCTTTTTTTCAGTTGAAACAAATATTTATTTAAAGTATATATGTATATTGTACTTACTTACTTGTACTCGAGGAAAAGGTTATAAAAAAAAGCCACGTAATACAACATCAAGGAAGGTAGGGCTCGAAGAGTCTAAAATATAACCACGCTTTAGTCTTTTCGAGGGAATTTCAGCAATTCCTAGCAGACTGAATAAATTAATACTAATTTTCAATTCAATATTCAATGTCCTACAAAGACGAGCCATGCTTAGACCACTCATTTGTGCGTAGTTAATTTAAAGCTTTCGAATATTCTATGCCAAAAAACACCTTCAAAGCTACAATTATAAAGAGACTAAAGTTGAATTTTAAATAAAAAATATCAAGATCAAATTACAAATGAAAACCTAAAGTCATGCATATACATATATTTGTTGTACATACATACTTTACAGGCTTTAATACAAATTTGAGATTCTCGTGTGCGTCTTTTTGAGCGTACTTGTATGTGCAAGTGATGGTTATAAGCTTTCCACCCTCAGCTCACAATTTCAATTATCTTTTATACCTACCAATTAGTGCAAACTTCTACCCTATTTTCTCTATATACATATATAATATACGTTATGCCTGTATGTATGCATGTATGTGTGTATGTATGTGTGTATGTATGTGTGTGTGTATGTGTGTAAGTAAATGTTTTTCTTTGTTTGCGCCTAATTAATATAATCCAATACAAAAGCCTCACTGCGTATCCATTAATATAAGAGCAGCTAATAAATTTTGGTTTACTGTGTTCCTTGCAATTATTAGTTGCTAAAATACATATATCAATATAATATATTTTATATTCTTTCATATATATGTTTGTAAATATGTGCATGCATGTATATATCTACAAACTAGTGTTATGAGACTTAATGTGAAGCTCAAGTTTCTTTAATAACCAAAAATTTGTATCTCAATGCGTTCCAAGGATTCACAATTTGTTCGGCATTTTCTTTTTGGTATTTTTTTCTTACTTTTCCACACATATTCACGTTAACATTGTTTTAGTTGTAATAAGAAAGAAAAACAGCAAATTGCTTGGAATTTTATTACCGGCTTAGCGCCACTTAACGAAAGATGACGATTTACAGGATTGTCCATAGACGTAAATAAAATACATTTAACATTATTATTATTATTTACATTTTTTCTTAACCAGAAAATTCTTTTTTATAAGCAAATTTAATCTTTCCATTATTTACAAACTCGACTGCGTTTTACCAGATTGGGCGATAACTTAGCAAAAACTAACGATTCCTAGTTTTCAAGCGTTCAACAACAACCGCTTGATAGGACGGCCTTCCGACAGGCATTAAACGCCATACACCGAGTGTACGCCAAAACCTTGCTGAACTCTTTTCCAGTGAATGGCGTTCTTGCAGTCAAACCAACACCTATTGCTGAAGAAGAAATTGAGCTGCTCCAGAGGCTCCCGCGTAAAACTGGTATATTGATTAAATGTCTTCTACTCATCCAGACTTCATCGTAACATACCTAACGCAGGTCCTGCTTGAAATGAGTTCGGGTAGAATACCAACCTCCTTTTTTTATGCCCCTTGAAACTAAGTCCTTTTAGCGCTCTCTCTGGTATGAACCCGTCGAAACAGCTCGTTTCGCTCAATGACTTAGACTGATATAGTCTCCAACTGTACGGGGTTGAGAAAACGCTGCAACAACAACAACAACGATTCCGATGGGAACGCAGTGTGTACATTGATTATGTGACTGCGAAAATATGTGACATTTATGTGATTTTCCACACATAATTACCAACTGAAGTCGAGTAGCCATACGAACACATGAAAACGCACAGCTACATGTCTTACATGAATGAATTTTTCTTAATATTTTTGGGGTGCGTAAAGACACTTGAGCCTTCTGGCTATAAATTAAACACATTACACATGTTTTTCTACAAAATGAACAAAATAAAAACTCTGTCTAGAGAACACTACCCTAAAGCCCAATAGTGAAGAGCCAGCGGTTCTTTTGTTGTCACCGCAATTGAGGTGACAGTGTGGACTGTAGAATTTTCATTACAAAAAATAAGAAAAAAAACGATAATAAAAAAACTAGGTCAGGAATTTGCGGTTAATAAACAGAGAAGCATTACTAGCTAGACAATAGCCCATAGTATTGTTTAACGCAGACAGGACAGCAGTGAATATGAAGTGTCCGGTCATGATGCTGGGCAATAAACTTTGGTCTAAAAGGGAGAAGCAAACACAATGCTCTGTGTATAATTTAAAAAAATAATGCAAAAACCTAAAGGTGAGTGGGCAGCGTAAGATTTGCTTTATTTTTGCTTTCTTCAATCTCGAAGCATTCTTATTAAAACAGTTAATAACAAAAGTATGTCTGATAAGCTGCGGCTAGCCGTCGAGAATACATAGTTATATATGTAGTTAAACCGAGATTTGATTTCAGGTAGACAAACGGGTGCATTACACTCCAACCAGAGGTAAGGCAGTTCATTATTCAAAAATAGCGATGCTTGGACGCTGACGGGGTCGAGTTGTGGGGCGGCAGCGACTTCTAGAAATTACTTCAGACTGCTTAAGACAAGGGATAATGTGTTTTCATTTGGTTTTTATTTGCTACTGCGGTCTGTTGGTCAGCATTTCTTGCTTATGTCTATTTTTTGTGTCTTTGAAAATCTCGTATTTCATTTGTTGTTGGCATTATCACTGCAGCATAGTCTTCTAATTTACATTTTGTTTTCATTTTACTTTCTTTTTTCTTTAATTGTTGTCTACTTTTTCCAATTGTTTGTCGTGCCCATTGACACGTTTGTTCATTCGTCGTTTGACACTTGAATATCCTTAGCAATATTTGGTACTTCTCAAGGCCGCTGTTGTTGGTTGTAAAAGCGAGTCAAAGTGGGCTAGGATTAGAATGAAACATCTTAAATTTTTTCATGTAAGCAATTAAATGTGAGCCACTGGAATTCGGTTGAGTTATTTCTTCTAAAAATAAAGAGATTGTGGCGGTTTTAAAGAAAACTGCTTGGAATATGAACAATATATTGGGCAAAATATAAAGAATTAGGCTTAAAGAAAAATTAATAAAAATAGAAGATAAATTTGTAGAGCGAATATCTTACTTTTTGGTAAGGAGCTCTGAGTTCTCCCAGTGAAAACTGTTAAAGTTTTTAAACATGCAATAAATTTGTTGAATTTTGATCAAAATTTTCTCTTAATAATAAAGCCAAATTATTGAATGTTTTCATTTACACGATTACCAGCGCCTGGGAATGTCAACCACGCCGTGTGGATTTCTGACGTGAAATAAATCTTCTCATAAAAACCATCAGCCGTTCGGAGGCGGCTTAGTTTAAACTATGGGTCCCTCTATTTGTTGGAAGAACAACAAGAAGCAGAATCACAGATTGGAGAAGGAGTTCGGCCGATCTATATATAAAACGTTCGTTCGGTATATTAATTAATTTTTCAAAATATTATAACTTTGTGTACGTTTCCGACATAATTCCGACAAATACGCGCCGTTTTGTTCGTAAACTTAATGCCAACGAGAAGCTGAAAGGCTGCGTCCGTATTGGCGAAAAATTCGGAGAGCCAATTTTCACAGGCCTCTTGTGGGGCCAACTTCTCGCCATTAAGCGTGTTCGCCATGGACAAAAAAAGATGGTAATCATCTGGTGCCAGGTCCGGACTATAAGGTGGGTGCATTAAGACCTCCCATCCGAGCCTCTGGAGCTTCTGGCGGGTCATCAAAAACGTGTGTGGCCTTGAGTCGTCTTGATGGAACACAATTCGGCTTCTTTTGATCAAAGATGACCTCTTTTGGATGAGTGCTGCCTTCAAGCGGTCCACTTGCTTGGAGTAGATGGTCGAATTGAACGTTTGGCCATAGGGGAGCAGCTCGTAGTAGATGATTCCTTGCCAATCCCATTCAGCAAGACCTTCCGGGCCGTCAATCCGGTCTTGGCCACCATCTGGGCCGCTTCCCCGTGCTTTGACCATGACCGTTTGCGCTCGATGCTGTCGTAAGTGACCCATTTTTTATCGCGCGTCACAATTCGCTTCAGAAACATGTCGATTTTATTGCGATTCAGCAGCGATTCGCAGATGTAAATTCGGTCCATCATGTTTTTTTGCGTTAGTTCGTGTGGTACCCAAGCATTGAGCTTCTTTTTGAATCCAAGGTTATGTAAATGATTCGAAACAGTTTCTGTTTATCTTTAGTTCCTCAGAAATTAAATAAGACGGTCTGTTTCCACTATTTCCATGATTTTATCGCAATTTTCGACGACAGGCCTTCCGACGCGTGGAGCTTCTTTGACATCGAAATTACCGGAACGGAACCTAGCAAACCACTTTTGTGCTACACGTTCGTTTACAGTATCGGGCCTATAAACTAAATGAATTTTTTCAGCTGCTCTGGCTGCTTTTTCGCCTTGGTCGAAGAAAAATTGTAAAATTTAGCGAATTTTCTCTTTGTTGGTGTCCATCTTTGACGAGCGCTCACAACGTACTGAGTAAATCAATCGAAAAACTGTCAAATGCAAACTTTTAGGGCGAATAAATACGTTCCCAGCGCCGTTAAGTATGACATGATGCGGCACGTAACACTAGTTCTTGTCCATAGAACGCCATTCCTTTGATAAAAACCGAACAAACTTTTTACTTGACCAAATATTAAGATTATTCACAGTATTTCAGAGTGTACAAAAAATTAATTTTGGTATTTTCTTACACTGAAGTGTGCTAATTAAAACAATAGAGGTGGATCGCCCCGGGTGATTTTTTTAATATAAGTGATGTCTTGTTTAAGGATCACACCTAGTGTAATGGCTTAAAAAAGGGTGGTTTTTGGGAATTTTTTATTAAAAAAAATGCTTTATCATTTACATGTTTTAAGAATATACAGTGAAATTTTTGAAGGAAAAAATTTAAAATTTTTTGGTTATGGTCGATTGCCAACGGCGCGAAAAAAAAGATCCTTCACCGCTGCACTGATTGCGGCCTTCTCCGTGGTTGAAATCTAAAAAAAATTCTCAATAAGACAATATTGTCTGTACAATGACCTACAAAAAAAAAAACAAAAGATGACAATATGGCGGCGTTTTAAAAAAATAGTCGAATTTTACCCAAAATATTGGTGGTTTTTGGCCTGCCAAAATTCGATTTTTTGATCAGATCAAAAGTCGATAGGTCATTGTACGGAGAACTATATATAGAACATGTAAAACAAATTCGATAGTGATCGGATGATTTGTTTTTGAGTAATCAGTGCAGCAAATTCGGAAAATGCTGCTTCGGGAAAAACGCGTTTAAAGATAAAATGATCGTTTTCACTCGTAGCTACTGACTAGCTGCCGAGCGGCTGCTCTTTAAATTGCTATAACTCAAAAACTATTTGAGAAATAAATTTGAAATTTTTTGTTTTTATTTTTAAAGGTGTAATCTATCGAAATATAAAAAAGCTCGATTTTTTTGAAGATTCTTGGTAGAAATCGAGCTATAAAAGTGAAGGTTTGCGATAAAAAATGACCTCGGTTCATGATTAAAATAACACATTCAAATTACAGCCTAAACGCGTTTAATGTTTTAACAAGAGTTTTGCAGCTACCTTGCGGCTCAACCCGTAGTACTACGAGACAAGGAGATGATCACATTTAGGTACTATAACTTCGTCTATATTTTGAATTTCGATCTAAAATTTTTAGGGTGTTTATATAATGTACAGTATATTTGAAAAAAGTAGATTTGTTCAAACCCATTGCCCATAAAGTATTCCTTCTTTGTTTTCACCCACTGTCCATACGAAGAGTGGGTTTAACTCAGCCGTTTGCGGTATAGAGGTAAAATTCTCTTCCATAATATAACTCAATATGTATGAGTGTATTTATTGCTTATTTTTAACGCAACACTGCAGCGAAAGTCGGATGCTTCGGTCGTACGCTCATTTGCAAGTTCGTGTCTTGGCACAATTATGTGGCTGAGTAATGCCATTAATACCCACTTACGCGTGCAGTTTTCATAAACCAATGGCATGCCCGGCTTTCCGATTGACTACCTTTTCACCTGAGCCATATGCATGCGCGTGTGTGTATGTACGGTCGAGTGGCAATAAATTTATAGCCTCCCCAAAGCAACCTTACAATTCAAGTGTATTTTAATAAGCAAAAATAATAGCAACTGCAAGAGTGAAGCTCAAATAAGCTTGAGTATGTACTCAAGTGCAAAAACAAAAAAAAAAAAACAAAAAATACATTATTTGCACTTCCATATGTGGAAGCTTTACGACGTGTTTTGCTGTTTTGGCTGAAGCCCCAGCGCGCCAAGAAAGTGTGCACATTTTTCATGGATAATTGAGTTGACTTGAAAAATGACTGCTATTCAATCGTGAGCAGCAGTAGCAGCAGCAGCGGAACAAGTTGTGGGTCAAAAGCGCGCGCTTCTGCTTGAGCTCCGTTGGCTGCTTGCTATTGGGCGAGTGCCGAAATGCTTGATTGTGAATTGGCGCAAAGCTTGATTGGAATTATATACATGCAGCTGTGGTTGCCATGGCTTAAAGAATTATTATTATATTCCGCACTTGAAGTATTTTTTTAATTTATTTTTCTTTTTTATTTTCTCCACACTTTTTGGTACCGTTACCTACATATGTACATATATGCATATATATATGTGTATGTGTGTGTGGTAATAGTCAGCGTACACTCCATACAGCTGAGGCTTATATGCGATTCAATTATTTTTGTGTTAAAACAGTACATTGACACATATACATTTACACATATACGTATATATATATATATATTATATATATTAAATCAGTCCAAGTCCGATATTTCTGCTACCGAAAAGCGTAGCAATAAAAGTTAGCGGAAGTGCTGGCAATAAAAAGTGCAACTCGGTGAAGTGTACTGAAGCAAAGCGTCAGCATTTGTGATGTGCCACCAACTACGTTGGTAGGTGGTGGTATGTGCACTGTTGCAAGTGTGGGCGCCAAATGATTTCGTTTCACATTTTTTCGTTTTGGAAATTTATGAGTAAGCAGCAGTAGCGGTCGGTATGAAGAAGCTGCTGGTGTGATCACTCGTACTCTGGGGTTGAATGTTTAGTGGCACGCAACCTTTTGTTATTTTTTGTTTTTTTTTTGTTTTTTTTTTCTAACAATTTATTTTTTTTTTTTTGTATCACCCTACAGTCGAAAACGAGAATATCTTTTAAATGTCACCTTAATTTATTTGCGCACTTCGCACTTGTGTTTGACATTTATAAGATTTTTATACGTTCGTGATCGACAAAAGTCCGTTGGGGTTGATGTATAGACGCTGGTACAATTATTCTAATTTAAATTAAATTTAAAAAATATAAAATTTTTATAGAAACATTTGAGACGATGAGGACTACTGCAAAATCGAGGTTATGCATCTTAAAGATTTCCCTGCCCAACTAGTCGATTTCCTTGTAGGAGTAGAGCCTGAAACGCGAAGGCAAAATCCGTTCAAAATCGAAGCTATTGAGTCTACATACATTCCTTTAGAAGAGAAGGATGATATGAGACGCCTTCTAGGAACACCTGGGCTGTACTTATTAACACCTTCCCTACAATGTCAACTTTGAGTTTGATGACTTTAAGTCCCGGATGTGCACAGAAGGAGAATATTTATTAACATTTAAATATTGTTCCGATTTAGTTTTTCTTTGGCATTTATTTTTTAATTATATCTCTTTCAATTGTTGGCCGCGGCTACGTCTCAGATTGTCCATCCATTGTGTCCAATTTTCGATGACTCGTTCGAGCATTCCGATTAGTAACTGGAATGTGACACGCGTGACGTGTTGCTTCAAAACCTGAATTTGAGCGGGATTGTCCCCGTAGACTTTGGCCTTCACTTATCTCCACAGGAAAGAGTCTTCTAACAGTGTAATGTCATACGGTCTTGGTAGATAATCGACCGGCCCAACAAGTACTGCTCACTGAAGCGCTCTCT